TGTAGTAAATTTTGGTATCTGTACATTTTCGGTTTATCAGCCAACCCTAATCTGTGCCCTAAATCAGTGCTTATAGATTATAAATTAAGCATAAAATCCCCAAAGAGCCAGCTGAATCTTGAATTTATGACACTATTACCAATTTGGAGGTCTGGTAAACAGGCGCAGCTTCAGAGACCTGATCATGGCTGCCATATGCCCAATTCTTGGACTAACACTTGAAGAAACTGACAAATTACTTTGCATGCTTTTGATAAAGAAATGTGCGCATAATTTGCAGCACTCTAGTATGAATGAGAAAGTGAGACATAAAGACAGTTTGATGGTGCTTGAATTTTTGTCTGCTTAGTCTCAAAGCATCAGACCAAAGGCGGTAAAAATGTCCTGGAGTTGAACGCTTCAAACACAAAATAGAACATTGTCAAGGTGGATTAAAAAACTTTTCAAAACACAGAACAAGCCCCCAGTAAGGCACGCACATAAAACATGTGAAGCAGAGCCAATAATTGACCGTCCTACTTAAGTGCTTTTTTTTCTGCTTGTAAAAGTTGGAAACATCTGCAAAAATTAGGTAGTTCTAAGGTGTACATATTTCTTTCATGGAGAAGTTGAACTCCTGCTGAGCCGCAGACCTCCCTCTTGAAAAAAGCCAGATTACGTTTTTGAAGCACATGTGACCAAAGTGTTTGAAATTATGAGCCCTGTCAAATCTGTCCACAAAGTTTTTAACTTTATAGTGCACGTCAAAACAATGAACAGTCAATATTTAAGAAGAGTGGGAGGAAAGTATTAATTTTAATTTTTATAGAGATTGTACATATTTTATAAAGCTTTACATTAATACTGTCATGTTTTATTCAGCACTTTAATGGCAGACTGTATGCTCTTGCAGATATACTCAAGATTGAGTGGATGTTAATGCAAGCTCTACATCGTATATCACTGTACCATAGTCAGGTAGGATTATGTCAAAAAGGTTTCAGTGCATTATCACATATCCCCTAAGGTTCTGAATATGAAAATGACAACAATTGGTAAATATATTGTTTACATTTTTTTTACTTTTCACATCTTCTAAGAAATAAAGTCTATTTTAAAATGGTTCAGATGAAAACATGTCTTTGCGTGTTATGTTGTTGGAAATATCCTCAAACAGAGGGATGCAGAGAGAGTCTGATGCGTTGATATAGAAGTGGTGCATTACAGCCATTAAACCTTTGTGATTAATAATGCCTGTTTAAAGATGGGCCTAAAATGCATGGAAAACTCGACACTCTCACAAATGGAAACACAAACTCAAAAAGAAACACATACAGGTCTTACAGGTCTCACGTGCACATCCTTTTTCGTACTATGAAGCTGTCTCCATTTAATTATAACCAAATGTTGAGCTGTAAACCTCATTTTTTTACAAGTACAAGTATGTGCCCAAATACAAGTCATCAGCTTTCATGTCAATAACTCTAAGCTTACTTTCTTACCGTTACAAAGCTCGATTTGAACAGAGGAATAATAAAAAAAAATGGACTTGTAGCTGCCATGGTTGAGCAGACAGTGTCTAAAGAGCTGTCAACAGGATATATGAGAAAGAAAATATCACAGTAGCACCCGTTGTATGTGATTGACAGGGGAACATTGATGAAATGGCACAATGTACAGCCTGAGAACTTGATAATGTGATGACAAGTTCATGGGTTGATGGAATTGATTAAATAAGACGTGGAGTTGTCTCAATATGAAACATCACCTATATTTAACGTTTCACTGTTCAAATGTTTGGCTTAAATGAAAATAGATCTTTTTTAAGCTTCCTATTCCACCCCTTTTAATCTAAACAAGTACCCTAAAGGTGTTGTATATTTGAAGGCGGATTACAAATGACATTTTGATTTACTTGAGAGAACATGAAGCGACTTCAGCCTACTTCAGGTGCCAAAAGAAAGTCAAAGTGTGATCTTAAACACCAAGATTAACCCCAACCGGCTGTTCAATGGATGACTCAGACAGTTACTCAAAGAAAGGGTCCTTTATTCTCAGATGGACTTTAGACACTGAGAAGAGAAAACATATTGATTACGGCATGTTTTAGTTGAAATTAGGGCTGGGCGATATAGCCTCAAATCAATATCATGATATATATTGAGCAGTTCACCTCGACAACAATAGATGGACGATAACTACTCCACAAGCCAGCCTCTACAACTTTTGAACCGTCCTCCATCTCCTCCGTCTTTCCCTCTTTGTTATGGACTTGATAGGGTGGAGTCATTTCGGTACCTGTAAAATTGAGGTTTAAAGATAGATAGATAGAATGTCATTTAACCATAGAGTGTATATACTATGGACAACTTGGCTCCGCCTTCCGGGATTTCCTTCACCTCCTGGAACCACCACTTGTGCGGTAGCGTTGATCACATTCGGCGGGAGAGTCGCTGTGATGACGCTTGGCTCAAACAGCGTATCCCCCAGGTGAGCTAAGCAATCTTTGTACACCCATAGGCTGTATCAAGTGTCAATCATAGAAAACATGAACCCTCTAATAACTTTTAAAAATGGAGCTGCACAGAAAAAAGAGGACTTGAGCACAAACCAGTCTTACAGTAACTACATGTCAACATCACATCCAGGGGGGAGAAAAATTTATATTCTGTGTAATAAATTCCTAAAGTTTGTCCACAGCTCCATAGGAATTGCTGGAGGAGGCGGGATTTATGACCTATATTGCAGCCCATCAACAGAGGGTGCTGTTCTCACGGTGGCTTCACCCAGCGAGCAGGCAGACGGCGTCCATTCAATGTACAGTCAATGGTAAATACCAGCCAATTTTTTTCAGATCTATTTTTAAATACAGATGATTTTTTAAATATTTTTTTTAAGTACAGTATTGAGACATTATTGGTTATTTCAATCCGTTTCTTCCACAAAAAGCCAGTTTGTAATTTATCTACTTCTTTCAAAAAACACAGAAAAAAATCTTGAATATCTCTGAGCTGCTAATAACTGCTTTGTCACTATCGCTAATGTTACATGATTTCTCTGTTTTTCTTAAGGTGACCATATCCTGAATCTTCAAAAAGAGGACACTACTACGCAGGGCGAAGTCGCATGCAAAATTTTGAGGATTTTTCAGGTAAGGTCGTGTGTTTTTGCGCAATTTTATCTCAGTTAGTCTTCAATAAACAAACTCAAAACTTCTATCCTGTATTTGATAAACTTCCCCTGGACAGGCCAGACAGCCCCCCCAAAAGAGGACATGTGAAAGAGGACGAATGGTCACCCTAGTTTTTCTACCAAAGTGTTACCAAACTGTCCAGGTTGATCCTCTGCTCACAAATATACTTAAGCATTGCGTCATTTTACTGATTACTGCCAATGAGAGATGGTTTGTTCCGCTCAGGTTAGATAATCAAACTCAAAGTAGTTTGCAGGGTTCCTGCTGCTTAAGCGCTGCTGTCTGCACTTACAGTTTCCAGGCAACCATCAAACAGAAGTCGTGCTTGTACGATGAAAGGTCACTGTTGCCACCGCTGTTTATTTGCTTGACCTGTAACTTTTGACCCCCATGTGCTAGTAACTCATTGGTGAGTCGCTTGCAAACATGTCAGATAAGCTTATTTTGGGATGGCAAACAATTCATCATTCAAGTGCTAGTGAAAGCCCCGCCAACCGGAGGACTTTCAAGTCCCCTGAGCAAACGTGACTCCTCACCTCTTCCTCTTGAAAGCAGAGTTCCCCACCCTGGTGTTCGGCTCTGACCAACCCTAGGTGGTAAAGTTCACACTGTGATGCAAAGACAGAGATCTGGAAACATGCTGTGTGAGACAGCGGTATGCACACCAGGAACAGAGCTCCTGTTTGCAAAATCAAAATTCAATCTGTGGCGCTTTCACTGATGAGCTGTAGGATTAATTTTTGAGTGTATGGATAATATAGTCTTTGTCCTTGTGCATCCATTTGAGTCACGCTTTTATCATCTATGATTAAAGTGTATATTGATCAGGAATCTAGTAATTTTACTATTCTGAGACAAGAAAAAAAACGTGCACACGAAAATACAAATGTTTTTACGTAAAAAAAAAAAAATGCCTGTAAAGTTAAAATGTTTCCTAATGGTGCCTAATGCTTAGAGACACAGTGTGTAGTATTTAGCAGCATATAGCAGAGGAGGCTTAGTAGAAATGGAATGTTGTTTTTGTAAGGATGTTTAAATGAGTATTTGTATCATATTTTATTTTATTTTTATTTTCCTTTTTACTAAAAATGAGCCTTTTGAAGTCTCTGCATTGGCTTCCAGTATAAATTAGAATTAATTTTAAGGTTATTTTGTTGTTTTTTAAAGCTCTTATGGTCTGGCACCGTCTTATTTATTGGATCTAATTTTATCATATGAGCCTGTGAGAGCCCTCAGGTTTTAGGGTAGTGTTTTTTTAATGATTGTAATGATTTAAGTTCAATTGATTGATTGATATTTTATAGGAGCAGGTCCCTGTCCATGAAGGCCACTACCTCGTACTGCCATGTTGTGATTAAACAGCCAAACTAGATAGATAGATAGATAGATAGATAGATAGATAGATAGATAGATAGATAGATAGATAGATAAATACTTTATTAATCCCAGTCGGAAAATTCAGGGGTCGCGCCACTCACAGACTCACATACAGTACACTAACAACAACAACAACAACAACAAGTGCACCTCTGCAGACCAGCCAAGTAGAGTAAAACCAGTATTAAAAGTGCAATAAATGCAGTAGTGCTTGCAGTGCAATATGTATATAGTGCTGAGGTGCACAGGTCCTCGACTCAGTCTTAAACTGAGTCAATAAAATAGATTCAGAACAGGCAGAATAGGGAGAATATTAGCTCAGAGCAAGTATTGAGATTAAAGAGTGAATGAAAACCATGTGTGCGATGTGTGAACACTGCATAATCTCACTCATCGTCCCACTTTCCACTACACCTTTGATTCACCAGATAAAAACTGTACCCTCTTTGTTCCATCAACTCCAAAAGAAGCGACCTTTTCTTTGCTTAAATGTAGCATAATATGATCAAAATTTTACTATGTCAATGGGGAATCTGGCCCCTAACACAGTTTTTCTATATTTATTCCCTGCATTAGACTTCTCAAATATAACAATTTGCTGCTTTACTTTATCTAAACCGAACACTACCCAAAGGAAAAGGAAAAATCACAACAGTAAGCAATATTCCTGCAGCTTGCAGGAGAGTAGATTCATTAAGAAGAAGATAAGCGCGTATATAGCCATGCCTTTTCTTACATACGTTTATGCTGATCGTGTAGAAAAAGATGCTCACAGTTTAACACTGTTCCTTGTCTTTGTGCATTTGGCAGATGTTAACTTCAAAGAACAACCACTGCAGAAATTTCCCTGCTTTAAATGAGGTCAGATAACAGAAGCGCACACTAAGACGTTTTTCTGTTTAACATGCAGAAGGAAAGCCACCACACTCTTTGAAGATATTTATGAAATCTGTTATTTTTTAGGACAAAACACAGGAGTGAGGTTGTTTTTTTCTCACGCTATCTCCCCCCGTATAGTAATGACAGGTAGCACTTACAGAGACTGTCACACTGTTTTTACCTTCTCCCTCATTATATTATGAGGAAGGCCTCGAGTATGTCGGTGCTTCCCAACAACAAAGCCGTGAAACAATCTTCTCTGGTAATTAGTTTTGTACTTCTGTCTCGAGTGCCTGAGTTTGAATAATGTTCTTCAGAGGAATGTCAGGGATTACTCTCGGTGCCTAATAGTCTGTCTGACTAACCACACTACTATCAATGAAAGTAAAGCACACTGCAGTGGTAGACAAGATTTATCTTCATCCAAAGGCCAACAAAGCACATGGAGAGGTTGTCTGCACGAAGAGATGAAGACCTGATTAGATCCAGCGAGTGATAAAAAAAAAAGTACATAATTTGACATTGTCGTATTTTACAGAAAAGGTCATTTTCTGTGCAGACAAAACTCTTCATTGTTTAGCTTGTTGGTAATTCAGCCTCATTTAGTTCTGTCATTTTGATATTTCCCAAAAGCAACATTTGACCTCATTAGGTGAAAAAAATTAACAAACTGTGAAACTTCAATTGAAAACTAGTTGTTTTATCATCTGTTTGCCCCCGCGATAAGGCGCCTGTTTATTTTCCAGTGCTTTCTTTTTAATTACCCTGATGGCTCAGAGATGGAGGGAATTTGGCCCTGAATGAATTCAGTTGTAGTATTTGCAGAGGAAAACTCAGGAGAAGAAGGGGGCAAGAAAAGAAAGATGGTATGAAGGCCGAGCTGCAGAGTGTTGGGAGGTAAATGTATATAAGAGTATGCCGATCTGTCTAGACTGCCTCTCAGACTGACATGTCTGCAGAGCACTTGAAGTGATTATTTTAACGGGGATGTCCTTCTCTCATTACCCCTCTCTTTCTCTCTCTTACACTTTCACTTACATACTGTGCCGCTATAGTCTGAATATCTATGTCTTGCATAGATTGGATTTTGTCTGTAGTGTGTAGGGCATGGAGGCATACTGGGTCGTAACACAGTTGGAGAGGGAATGGCAGTGATGTGTAGTATCTGCAGGTGGGGAACTGTGCACTTGACGTATCAGAATGAAGACTTCTATCACCTTGAGCAGAGTATTTAGAGGCCCACTCCACTGAAATCATGTTTTTCTTTTTGTTTACACGTTTATACGACATATCAAGAGAAAACGAAGTGCGAAATTGCATATCAGAGTATTTCTGTATTTAAATCACGGTAAACCTCTCAAAGACCCAAACAGCAGGCTCAGACACAGAGAGATTTCCTATGTCATAACTGCAAGCTCCGCCCCCAGAGCCCCACTATGCAGACCAGACTCAGAGATTTTGCACGTGCAGAATTTTGAGGGTTTTTCAGGTCAGGTCAAGAGTTTTTTACATACTTCTAACTTAGTTAAACGCACATCCTGTATTCCAAAGACATTGCGTGTTGCGTTATTGGGTTTGCTTAGAACTGAGTGGAGGGGCCGTTTCAGGCTTTTCATCATTTTTTTTATTTTTGAAAAAGAAAAAAACAGATGAAAAAAAGATGACATTTTATCCCATCTTTTATACAAAACCCCAGACATTTTAAGGATTTTATAAACTCCCCCCGAACACGCCAGACAGCCCCCCAAAAGAGGACATGTCTGGGTAAAAGAGGACGTATGGTCACCCTTTGCAGAAGAAAAGCCTTTAAGTGACACAGGTAACATGATTTTGGGTAAAAACTTAATAATTACAATTTAAAGACCACTGAGAACACTTTAAGTAGTAAAAAGAAAAACAATCGGAGTGGGACTTTTCATCTGTTTTTGGCCGTCTTGCTACCCAGCTAAGATTTCTTTCTTTCTGTAGTGGACAACAAAGAACTCAGAAGGTGAACAAACCCACTGAGCCAAAGTGTAAATAAAGACACAAAGGCTCAAGTTACAGAGCCACAAACAAGCTGAGTGCATCCTTTTTACTACAGATGGTTGTTAACTTCATGATCTGCTCAAAGCCACACAAAAGCATTTCTTTCCAACTCTTAACACATTCACGATTAAGAATCTGTGTTGGTGCACAACTCCTGCAAGGGACTTAAGTACTGTTATATTGTCATTAAGTGGGATTTTGATATCACTACATCTCCCTCTTTTTTCCCAACAAGCAGCTTTTGGAGGTATATAAAATTAAACTTTTTAAAAATCAGTTTTTAACATCTAAAATCAGAATTCATCTGCAGCCTTCGTTGACATAGCTATGCAGGGCCACAAAGTAGTAAGGTTTCTTTCTAACTTTATATGTTCTGTTTGGAGTTAACGACAGCCCTTTGTAATTGGTGACATTAAGGGTGGTCTGGCCCATTTAAACCACTGAAGCAGTACTGTGGCCATTTAAACCGCAGGGGTTTGATTTAGGCCTAAAAGGAGGCTTACACGGCTCATTTAAAGCACCAGGAATTTCTTTTACTCTGGCTGGTTAAATTTACCACACAAGTCAGCACACATTTTATCATTAATGTGTCTCTTGACTCGAAGGAAGCCATGTAAGGCAGTTCCTTCTCTTTTTAAACAGGCATGTCTGGAGAGAATTTGTTTTCGACTTGGACCAAAACTAATTTGTTTTTAGTATTATTATCTAAGTGTGATTATTCAAGTTCAATTTTTGATTACAGCGCTGACCTCAAGCTAGAATGAAAAAAGAAAAAAATGAATCAGGACTAAAAAGGATGCCTTTCGTTTCACTCATAATTCCTTTTAAGGCATTTCCTGTAAATTAAGTCTCGCTCTTTTATTTAGTTTCATGTGGAGTAAAAAAATATCCTGTAAGACGATGCATTTTAAATCCGTTAAAAGAAATTAAATCAATTTTGGTGACAAACTTTGTAGTTTATAGTCTTTGTAGTCTATTATTCCTTAACAGTATCTTACTTCAGATACCAAAGACTCCAGTAAACTCAGTGGGAAAAACAAATGGGAGAAAAAAAAGAGAGAGGAAAAAAAGCAAGAGACAATTTTGACACAAGTCCTGAAGGCCATGACAGAGAAATATATTTACTTCTCAGACAGGACACGACCACTGACCATGTAAAGGAATAAAACTAGTACTTCACTTTTTAGTTGCGTCCTCTAATGGCAAAGATAATTGCATTGTGACAACTTACCCATGTGACAACAAACCTCAGTCTCCCCTATTTCGGCAATCAAATCGCAGTATTTTTGCATAGTGAGTTTCCTACGTCACAAATCCAAGCTCCGCCCTCAGGCCAGACTCAGAGAAGTAGAGAGTCTTGGAACAAGCGTGTGCATTGGTGGATTGCAATGCTAGTAAGAAAACTAATTATGATATTAACTTTCATCTTGCCCCTAAAGACCTTAGTGTCCGAGAAATGAATAGCTGCTATGAATTGCTGCAGAAGAAGAGCCCTTAAAAATGACATAGAAAACGTGATTTTGGCTTAATACTTCATAATCACAATTTAAAGACCACTGAGAACACTTTAAAGTGTAAAATTAAGTTAGAGTCAAACACACCGTAACACCCAGTTAGATACCCCGTCAAGAGAAGAGTGTTGCCGATCACAAATGTTCTTCCTTGAGCTGCGTCCCCCCACTGCAGTCGATGGACTCGGCCGAGGTCTCACCACAAACAAGCAGCTGCTGGAAGAGAGTGGGTGAGTTGTGTTTAGTCTCTTTGCTAAAGAAATCAGGCAAAGTTAAAAAGATGTTTGGTGGCTAGTACTATGGCTGGGACTCTATATGTACTGTTGATGAAGTTAGGTGCTGTTCTGAGCATCATTTGTGGCTATAGAGTGGCGTTTTGGTTGAGCGCGTGGCTCTGTGTATTGCTATCGTGCGGTCGTTACTAAAGTTGGTATAACTACAAAAGTAAGCGGTCGGCAACATTCATGTCTCGACAGGGTGTCTAACTTGGTGTTACGGTGTGTTTGACCCTAACTTAATTTTACACCGGAATATCCCTTTAAGTAGAAAAAAATGGATTGGAGTGGGACAGTACCATCATATAAGTGAAGCAACCACACTTTCTGCAGTGAAGAAACCTCATGTTTCAAGGGTCTTATGTTGACTTATATTAAAGGAAACTTGTAAGAGTTTCGTCTGCTATTCAAATTTTAAAAAAAGAAGAATGGAGATTTAATGCAGTTTGAATTGTAACAATATATTTAGGGACTGTGAAGAAAACTATTGTTTAAAAGTACATACAACTGCCTCAGATGAAAATTAGAGGGAATGGGTTTCAAAGATTACAACATCAGTCGGGTTCAAGCTGTAGGTGGCTCATTTCAACATCTTGAGAGACAGAAACATACATCGAACATCTGGCTGAAGGAAAAACATTAGTGAGAACATAAAACCCCTTGATAGGTTTCCATAATGTGTCATAACAACATGAAATTGAGCTTGGAAGCATAGGACCGGGGACTATAGAAGCCTGGGAACGTAACATGGACATGCTTCCCCAGTTCACAGGCTAACACAATGCACAACCACAAATCATACACAATGAATAAGCGCCTTTTCTGTTGGTGAAGGAAAAAATTTGGAAATTCCAAATATGTTTAGAGCCCCACAGCTCTTTCCCTGCTGACCGTACCGTCTATATCTTCAAAAGCTGTAAATAGACACTGACACAATGAGTATTTGGCCATCAGCTCAGCCTCAGGGGCCACACACAGACAGACGGACAGACAGACACCCACACACACACACACACACACACACAGACATTTACATTCACACTGTTTGAATGGGCCATTAACTCACTGAGGACAAAGTCGCTCATATTCCTGAAGTACAAGCTCCCAGGGCACTTGTCCTAAGTATCCATAGTTGTTAGTTGGCTAACTTGCATAGCAACTTATACTACAAGCTACCTTGATCAACAAAAGCAGCCCTAGAAAAACTATCTCCATTGTATAAAACGACCTTTGGCAAAAATGATGGAATCACCAGTCTTGGATGTTCATTCAGTTTTTGATTTTGTAGAAAAAAGCAGATCACAGACATGACACAAAACTGAGGTCATTTCAAATGGCAACACGAAGGAACACTAAAAGAAAGTACGAAAAAAAATGGTGGAAGTTAGTAGGGCTGGGCGATAAATTGAAAATCAATCTTTATCATATTTATGCTTAACTCATAATCTTTAAATGCTGGCTCAAGATTAGGGCCGGGCAATAAACCGTAAATTTACAGATACCAAAATTTATTTATTCATTTTGCCCATATCAGTATATTCTGTCAAAAAAATAAATACATAAAAGTTGTTTTTTGATGTGTGTAGGTAGGCTATGGTCTCATGTCCCTTTAAGACGCTGTCCTACATCAGAGACGTGACTCCACCCCATCCAGTCCTTGACAAAGAGGGAAAGACAGGTGAGGAGATGGAGGACGGTTCAAAAGTTGTAGCGGCGGCTGAAGTAGACGAAGTTAATTTGGGAGGGGGTGAGCAGCTTCTGGAGTAGTTATCGTCCATTTATCGGTATTCAGGTGAACTGATCAATATATCCTGATATTTATTTGAGGCCATATCGCCCAGCCCTAGTAGTCAGTAACAGTTTTTTTTTAGACTAAGCAGTGGGAAAAAATGATTGAATCAAACAAAAGAACACGTCGACACACCACTAGTACTTTGTTGCACCACCTCTGGCTTTTATAACAGCTTGCAGTCTCTAAGGCATGGATTTAACGAGTGACGAACAGTACTCTTCATCAATCTGGCTTCAACTTTCTCTGATAAGTGTTCACAGGTCGGAGCCTTGTCATGGTTCATTTTCTTCAACTTCCACCACAGATTTTCAATTGGATTGAGATCTGGACTATTTGCAGGCCATGACATTGACCTTCAGTGTCTTTCTCCAAGGAATGTTTTCACAGTTTTTGCTCTTTGGCACGATGAATTATCATCTGGAAAAATGATTTCATCATCCCTAAGAAGAAAAAGTGTCCAAAATGTCGACGTAAACTTGTGCATTTATTGAAGATGTATTGACCAGTGCCTTTACATGCAGCCCCATATCATCAATGTCTGTAGAAATTTGCATGTTTTCTTCAGGCAGTCGTCTTCATAAATCTCACTGGAACGGCACCAAACAAAAGTTCCAGCATCATCCCCTTGCCCAATGCAGATTTACGATTCATCACTGAATATGCCTTTCATCCAGTCATCCAGTTATTGCATTTTCTTAGGCGTTAATAATGGCTTTCGTCTAATTTTCTGTATGTAAATCCCATTTCTTTTAGATGATTTCTTACAGTTCAGTCACAGGCATTGATTCAAGTTTCCTCCCATTTGTTCCTCATTTGTTTTGCTGTGCGTTTTCTGTTTTCAAGATGTATTGCTTTAAGTTTTCTGTCTTGACACTTTAATGTCTTCCTTCATCTACCAGTATGCTCTCCTTTTACAGCCTTCCCATGTTGTTTGTACTTGGTCCAGATTTGAGACACATTTTAGACTGTAAACAGCCAACTTTTACTGCAACATTGCGTGAGGATTTGCCCTCTGTTAAAGGGGTATTCTGGTGTAAATTTAAGTTATGCATCAACACACCATAACACAGAGTTAGACACCCCATCGAGAGAGGAATGTTGCCTGTGTCCACTCGGGGTAAATAGCTTTCAGATTTTCTTTAAGGACTTGGTGGCTTATCTGTGTTCTGCACTCTGATGGAAGTGCATCCCATTGTTGCAGCAGCAGCTTTCAGGCGTTTTTCTTTTGTTTGGGTGAGATGAGAGTCAAGAGGAGGGTTCTTGTTTTCCTGGTGGTGCAGGACGGGCTTGAATGCAGAAACACAAGCACTTTCACCCATAAACAGTTGCTAGTGGGGACTTGTTCTGCTGAGATTTGCATATACAGTAAAGGCGTGATGGATGCTGTATGTGTTGCTTGGTTAAAAGGGAATTCCTTTCGAGCATTATTGAAAGAATTTTAGCTTCAGGGCGAGCACTTTTTTTTTTCTTTCAACCTTGTCAATTTGTTTGGGGCACTTGCAGTGTGACTGCACACAACTGGTTAACGGCAAAGTTTTATGTCAAACTCTTCAAGACACCCCGAGCTTGCAGGCACTGCACCTGTGCACCAGTGGAAAACTCAGCTGCCAGTAAAAAACAGTTTGTTTTATTTGGGCAAATTAAACACATTTCTGCAGCAAAAGGACTCAGTCCCATGAACCATTTACAAGAAATTCTGTTTACTTCACGTAATAGTAACTGGTAATGAAGAAGATTTGAAACATCAAAGGTCATATGAAACTGATATGTCTTTGCTATTTGTTTAAAGATATTTACCGTTCCAATTATTCAGTCAAATGTTAGTTAAGGTCCCACATGTTATCTCATTTCTCAGAATTAGTGATTGTGTTGCCTGAACGCATTTTACTGCAGATCCTAGAGAACAATGGGAGTCAGTTCCATCGTTACACATTTATCAAGTTACAAGCCATCTTTACAAGTGGAGGTCAAATGAGTAAGTGTTTGCACAATGAAACTAGTGAGACGTTTATTTATTAATTTATTTATTAAACTGTCAAATGAGAAAAATTATAATACAGCATTTTAGTTAATTGTTTGATTTATTTATTAATATGTTATTGCATATGATATTTTTGTGTATTTAACAATGTGTTTTCGTATTTACTTTTTTAATTGTGCTCGCCAGCTAATTGCAGCAATAGTTTATCAACAGCTTTCATGACAACTGAATACTCAAACCATTCGGAGAGAAAAAATGATGGATTTGAAAAACTGTCAGCAGACAAACTATTGATGATCAATGTTTAATTTGACCAGTGACTTTTTTTATGTTTGGCTCAGTCAAAGAGAAAAAAAAATCATATCCTCCAGACTGTTTTCGTTTTTCTTAAACCAGTTTCCAGTAAAAGCTATTTCAAGTTTGAAAGAGGTAATACGGAACCAAAAAACAATCAAAATAATTATAAAGTGATTTCTGTCGTAATGAAACAGCTCTACAAGAAATCTCTATAGAAGCTGAAAAAATCCTCCTCTGTTTCCTGTTGGGAAATAATGCAAAAATGAAATTCTGCCATTGAGGTGATCTTGACCAACCGTTGATCGTAGCCATAGACTGTGTATAGAATGGACGCCGTCTGCCTCCTCACTGGGTGAAGCCACCACATGAACAGCACTCTCTGGTGACAGGCTGCAGTATAGGTCATAAACCCCGCCTCCTCCAGCAATCCCTATGGAGCTGTGGACAAACTTTAGAAGTTAATTACACAGAATATAAATTATTCTCCCCCCTGGTTGTGATGTTGACATGTAGTTACTGTCAGACTGGTTTGTGCTCAAGTCCTCTTTTTTCTGTACAGCTCCGTTTTTAAAAGTTATTAGGGGGTTCATGTTTTCTGTGATTGACACTTGATACAGCCTATGGGCGTACAAAGATTATGTAGCTCACCTGGGGATACGCTGTTTGAGCCGAGCCTCATCACAGCGACGAATGCGTACAACGCTACTGTGCAGTGCTGGCTTCAAGAAATGAAGAAAAAATCCGGAAATACCGAGAGCTTTTTGGCTTCAAATCCGTATGCTGGCAGGAGGCGGAACTAAGTTGTCCATAGTATATACAGTCTATGATCGTAGCACTTGCACAACTTAGCAATATTTGTAATAGCTGCTTTATAATTTTGGATTAATTCAAGTGTCCGCTGGATATGTATAATGAAAGTTATGTAAAACGCACAAAAGCTCAGTGTAAAAGAAAGAGTCCAGAGCCATCCACTCTGCCCAAACCTTTCTTTGAGTTTTGTGTGAAGCACAATCACAAAACAGCCTCCTCTGCGTACTAAAATCCCCGACTGTTTATTGTTGGGAATTATGGCATCTCCTGTGGTACATCTGTTTCTGGACAAAATTCAATACGCTTGGCTGAAGTACTGTCAAGAAAGATGGTCTTGATAAAAATTCTTTTGTGTAATGAAGTGGGCCTCGCATAACCAGTAATCCCTTCAAGAGAGCCTTGGCTACATCTAAGATTCGGAGGAACACTGCAAGTCAGTACAAATAAAGTTTTGAGTCAGGGTTTTAATGCTTCTTATTAGACTTTGGCAAAATAGTTTGATTCTCAAGGGATAAATAAAAAAAGCTGCGATATTCCTGTAGAGTTATCACTTTAGTGGGTTTCTCATAGTAACTATGTGCATTCTTGCAATTACAAGCTTTAACAGAAGCAATGTTGATTTAGCATTACACACAAAAAATCTGTTCGAACCTGCAGAGGAAAGATCAGAGATTTTAAAAGGTTGATATAGGCACTAATGTTGTGTCAGTCTCTACAAAACTATGAAAGTGACTTCAAAGTGACGCCAAATATCTGACTCATATTGCTTGTGTTATGAACGGGAGAAAAGCCATATCTGTCCTTAAAGGATTACAGATTGTTTGAACTGCGCTGCTGTGAGGAATCAGTACGTACGTAAAATAAGTCGTTTAAAAGGAAAAGGAAACAAAAAAACAACAACTGTAGCCAGGCAATGAGCACAGACAAACAAACAATGTCGGTGACTCAGCTTTCATCGCAGATTCACTCTTTCATTCATCAACACTTTGGAACAAACTCGAAGAAAGAGTAGCTCCTGTTGTGGAAGTTAGATTCAATGAACCGTGCAGGATCTCAGCTCTTAATTTATTTTACTTTTATATGTGGCCCAGATACGATAATCTTATGAGACAGTTTGTTTTTATTTTACTCAGAACATTTTGTAAAGCATTTTGTTCTCCAGTGAAAACAGGAAAAACTACTCACAGCTGGGAAAGTGTTTAAGAATGTAAGCAGTAGACAGACAAAGAAAAAACATCTC